GACGGACGGACGGACGACGGACGCCGCGCCACGGCATAAGCTCACTTGGCACTTTGTGCCAGGTGAGCTAAAAAGTATGTTATTAATAAGTAATGTAACTATATTGGTTACAATGGAGTGAAGATAAGTATATTTTATACAGAAAACCCCCCACATGTTATAGCAAAGCCAAGGGGATTCCAGAATATCTCTGTTTTAAGTATTACTTGTTAAGACTATCAGAGGATCAACAATGTTGTTGTATATGCTCATTATAAATAGGTTTTATGTCACATTGCTTGGACAGAATGTGTTTTTTAGACTTTCAAATTTTTGAAGAAACTTTCATGGTGTGAAAAATAAAACGAACATGTAAACTTTGTGGAGATATTTTATTACTTTATCATAATGATGGACTCTTCAGATCTTATAATGATGCAGACCTGCCCTTATACAGTATTCTGTAATTGAAATCCGTCATTTCACGTTGACGATATTTACATGTTTTTAATTTGTTTGATTTCTGAGACAGCAATATGTTTAATACACAAGAAATGCATCCCAATTAGACATTGCTCCATAGCCCAGTAATATTTAACTCAATTAAATGTTCAGCTACTTGTGTACTCTATTGAAGCATGATCTTCCTGGCTTGCATGTCACTTTACCAACTATGAAAAGCAGAATAATTGATGCAACTATTTAAAAAAAAAACATGCTGATTAATATCGTCACAATGTACAACTGGGATACATTTCTTTATAACACTGAACTGCATCCAAAATAGCAATAAATCACAAGTTGTCAACAATGATGTGAAATAACTGTTTCATAGAGGGACACTTTCGGCCTAAACTGCCTTGGGTTGAAACACCAGACTCCCCTACAGTGGACGTCTGATGTTCTCTACATCTACTAAGCAGTATAAATATGTGTGATCACAGTCAAATATTACTTAATAAAATACCTTAACAATTCTTACAAGTCCTCTCCCAGCTTCATCAGCAGTACATGTTTACTGCAGATCTTCATTGTATAAAGTGAGCAGACAGTTTAACATCGTATGGAACTCTTACTTTTCATCCCCAACCAAGACCAACAACTATCCCAAGGGACAAATCAAGATTTTAAGTGATAATTGTGATATAACTTGCATTGTTCCTACCACTTCCTGTAGGTAGAGGAGTTGTAAGAATTGCCTCGAGTCATGGACGGCAAATATGTTTAGCCTGTATTCCAGGTTTCCATTGCATAGTCATGCATTTACTTTTTCACACAACACAAAAATACTAGATTTCAACTATTTTTAAAACACCTTTGCTTACTTAAATAATTACTTTGGTTGTACAAAGATTTTTAATCAGAAACTCGTTGACAAATAAAATCATGATGTAAAAGTAGCTTGATCAATTTTATCAGTTTTGAAAGTTTAAAACAATTTAAATGAAGCTGATAAGGACAAGAAATGAGGGATATGATTGAAGGTTTTAAAGATCTATATTACTGAACTACTGGATATGATAATTTCTGTGATAACTTGTTGAGTTGGTATATAACGTATAATCCAGTGTAGCTCCCCCCGTACCAATCAAACCAACTGTTATAAGTGGCTACAAGTAATCCAAATTTCTACAGTATTAGTGATGCTTCATACCTTACTGTGAACACATCTTGAAATAATAAGTATTTGAGAAGAAAAAAATTCATGTAAAATAAATTGATCAAATTTTTCTAATGTGAAACCTGTTCACTGGTTACAAAAAAAACCCAGAAAGAAAACGGATAAAATTGTCTGTTATTATCATTTAACAGCATTTCAACTATGAAACGTCACAACCGAATGTCTTTACAACACTTTACTAAAACCTCTGCTAGTACCGATTCTCTGGCCTTAGTACCGAATGTCTTTACAACACTTTACTAAAATCTCTGCTAGTACCGATTCTCTGGCCTTAGTAGCCTTCATCAACAGAGATTAGTAATGCCATATAATTTACAACTTAACAATTTTTAATGTTCATATTAAAAAAAAGTAGTGTAAGATATAAATCCACTTAACTACTCAAGCTAATCTCCGTGTTCCAGTGGTCAGACAACTTTTTACATAATACAGAATGAGATTTAATAAAACTTCAGTGCCGTAAACTTTAGATAAAAATATAATCGGTACATCATTACTTTGAGCGAATTTTTAATATAACTTTAATTGTAACACAAAAATGTGTACTTTGTAAAAAAAAAAAAGGGGGTATATAATATGATGTAAGTTGATCAGAATTGGTAGGCTTACAAAGTATATAAAGCAACAGGTCAACACAAACAAGGGCGGGTATATAGTGTACATTTTGATTAAAGTCATATTCAACATTTGCATATTAATCTACTATTATGTGATAGATAACATTTCATTGGCTGCTTCAGGCTTAATTCTAATTGGCTAATTTAACACAATACTAACCAGATGATATACTTTTTGTAAATGATCCATATTTTGTCTCGTCTTTTAGAAAAAAATGTTGTTTCCTACATTAGAAACTGTGCTTTTACCATAGATCGTGTTTGTTAAGGAAATAAATACACACACCTATAGCCTGCCGTTAAACTGGTGAAAGCACTTGTTTTGTAGCTTGACAGGAGGGGTCTTCTATTGATTCTGATTGATGTAAGCCATAACTGCAGATGCAAATCCACGCATGTCGGTATATCGGAAAAAAGTGTGGTCTATCTTTCTTTGCTTGATGTTAAGAGATATGAGTTGAACCCGGGAGTTGGGGTTAGCGAGACATTAGCCAATAAGAAGGAAGCCCCTGGACAGCCTGTGTGAGACGCGGTGGATCTGAGCCAATCTGTGTCAGCCACACCTGTATACACTGGGGCCGTTACTCTGTAGGTACAACACACCTGATGCATACGCGCGTTACTAAATATTATCAACACTGCCTCCAAAGATTTTACACAAGTATTACATACTGCTGTAAATGTTTACAATTACTTAATTTCTATGATGTTTTTATCGATGAGCTATCTATCAAATTGCCTTAAAATTGAAACAAGCTCAAATCAAGAACGAATTGGATGTTTTTTTGTAGAAGAGACGCCAAAAGTTTGATGTGAAATCTGCCATCATTTGATTTAAGCAAAAGACAATTGAATTTACAGCCAAAAGGTGGTATTTATAGCCAAACTATATTAGTAATGATAGCCAAAAGGTGGTATTTGTAGCCAAACTATATTAGTAATGATAGCCAACAATGTATGGAGACACCACTTATATTGTAAACTGCTTTAAACGGTGGTTCTCTGGAGAGGAAGGAACACCTACAAGAGGTAGTCTCTCTGACAGATTGAAATCGTTTTTATGTGATTGAATGATTGAAAAGTAGGCAGCACCATTACTACTTTTATTTAGCAATGTACTGGTGTGTGTAAGGTGTGTGTTGTACCTGACAGGAGTAAGTCAGTGAAGCATGGAATACTACCAGTGGACCTTAGTACATCACAGTTAACACTTAATACAGTCAGGGTATGTAAATATATATACAACAATGAGGGCAAACACATGTAGCAAAACAATCGGTAAAAATATCAAACTCAATAATACAAAGGATTCAGTTCAAATAGTGACGACATCGTGTCATACGTAAATATACCTGTATCATTGTTTCCTTTACAGTTATGCTCAATTATTCTTGTCAATAAATAGTTCTATTTTCTTAAACTACTCAACAAAGTTACTTGATATAAACATTTCAACTCATTTCATACTTTAAATCACAAAGCATCTGCTTTGCAATGGTTTTCAAAATGTAGATTTTTTTCATGTTATGAAAGTTGAGCCACAAGTTTAAGATAAAGGAAGAAATAGAAGTATAGCAAACCATGATCCTGGCAAACAAAGGCATAAAGACAGGAGAAAGATATACCATGGACGGATTTACGAGTTAAAACTTGTACAAAAATAATCAATATTGCAAAAATAAAGACATAGAAATTAAAATAAAATCATACATTCAAAATAAAATTTATACATAAAAAGCAGATTTTTTTGGTTTGATAAAAATGGCTTTTGTATAAAAACGTTGATGAGATGGACATTACAATGATTGTTATTAAAATATTTTGCAAAAAGTTGACTGTAGTTTTATAATGGCTATAGCTACAAATAACAAACAGGGTTAATGGAGGTTCATCATACATACACAACGACTAGAGACGGAAGGTCCACTGCTCTGGTAGCTCCAAGATTTTTGTCAAGATAACAAACAATATATAATATTTTCTAATTTTACAGACATCAGCTCAATAACAATGTGTTGCCTGCAACAACGTGCTTCCACACACAAAACAACCTATTTCATTAATCAAAACAACAAACGCAGTACTCAAAGTATTCTTGCCTGCCTTATTAATACCAGATCTATTTAGATATTAAAATTGATTTTCTCCTTTGAATCATAATTTGGTAAAAGTGTTATTTTTTCTTTGCTTTGAAAGCTCCTTTTCATTCCTAAGGATTTCAATCTGTTGCCTTTGCTAGAACAGCACTATACTTGTACTTCAATAAAACAAAGGACGCTTTATGTGTGGTAATGTAACAGCTATTAATTGCAGCAACAAGGCAGGTAAACTCGCTCAATCTTTCAGGCCAGTTCTACTATAAACCAATCACAATGCTTTTTACAACCAGCAAATGTTGAAAACTTTTAAGATTATTTTTATCCATATACAAAATAGTTGCCCTTTATTTACCGCTGTTTAAAGGATTGGGCGGTCATTGTGTAATGTTTATTGACACAGATTGTCACACGCTCTGGTCAGCTACTGCCAATTTACTCTGACACTAAACAATTCCAACTGTACTTCAGACTTTTGACAGTTAACAACTCCAACTGTATTCCGGACCTTTGACAGTAAACAACTCCAACTGTACTATGGACCATTGACAGTTAACAACTCCAACTGTACTTCGGACCTTTGACAGTAAACAACTCCAACTGTACTATGGACCTTTGACAGTTAACAACTCTAACTGTACTTCGACCTTTGACAGTTAACAACTCCAACTGTACTATGGACCTTTGACAGCTAACAACTCCAACTGTACTATGGACCATTGACAGTAAGCAACTCCAACTGTACTATGGACCATTGACAGTAAGCAACTCCAACTGTACTATGGACCATTGACAGTTAAACACTCGAACTGTACTATGGACCATTGACAGTTAACAACTCCAACTGTACTACGGACCTTTGACAGTAAACAACTCCAACTCTACTATGGACCTTTGACAGTTAACAACTCCAACTGTACTATGGACCATTGACAGTAAACAACTCTAACTGTACTATGGACCATTGACAGTAAACAACTCCAACTGCACTATGGACCATTGACAGTTAAAAACTCCAACTGTACTATGGACCATTGACAGTTAAAAACTCCAACTGTACTATGGACCATTGACAGTTAACAACTCCAACTATACTCCGGACCATTGACAGTTAACAACTCTAAATGTACTCCAAATCATTGACAGCAGTTTACATATGATTACTGTAAAGGTCTTTATTAACATAAATCTGTGGGATCAATATCTTGAGAATTTAACAAAAAAAATAGCATGCAAGTTTTTTTAAGACTTTAATGAAACTAATTAAAACTAACTATCACACAGTCTTAATTTTTGTTCAACAAAACATGTATGTAGTTATTTTCTGTATTGTTTAATTTTTACTGTACTTGTGTTTGCTATGGTCAGATGTGAAATAGCTTTATTCATCTACTGCACAATCATCCTCAGATTTACCTGACATGAAGGAATGCCAAAAATACAGTTAAGTAAACTTGAATTTGTCAACAAATATGTGTATTGATCTAAAATTTGCTCAGTTTTTAAAGTTTACATTGTTAACTAAAAATGCTGTATGACATTAAAGTCATTAAATTGGCTATAATGAATCTGTTGACAAAATACCAGATATTGACATATAAATAGCATCAGTGACCTTGGCCTTGACCTTGGAAACCCTGAATTATGAACTCATCTGAGACATTCTGTTATTTGACCTTTGTATAAACTTTATGAAAATCTGTTCAGAATTGTGTAAAAATTTAGATCTGTTTGAAAGTAGAGACCTTTACAGTTAATCTGTACTTTCCACTTCTACAAAGTTTGACGGGAGGAAACATCCATTCAGTACTTACTAATTCGTTCAATTCAATGAGAAATTATTGATTACATACTTTGTAAGACTGCAAGATGTTTCTGGAAAATTGTTGAGGTTTTCAACGGAATTATCTCTGTTTAATAATAATATATCAAGAAAAAGTTACCCTGAGCAATCGAAAAAAAAATGGGTAATATACTCTCCATGGGAGCATTAAGGATTATTGATGTATTTGAAATACATCCTTACCTCTAGAATAATATTTGTAATAAGGCAGTCTTTATTTTTCCCGTTTTATGAGTAACCAGTAGTCATTAACTAGTAAGATTTGTGTCTGTTGTTGGCGTGATCACCAGCGTGCACTGAGATTAGCAAGGTCTGAGCGCGAGTTTCGCTGGACGGGGCGTGTCGACGTGGTGTCTATGAAGGGACTACTGCTCGTAGAGGCATTGGCCAGCTGTTGAAGAGACAGACTACTGCTGTCTTGAAAACTAGAGCTCAGTCCCCGTGTGATCTGACGGCCAGTAAGACCCTGTCCAAAACCCTCTGAAGAGAACACACCACTGCTGGAGAATCCCCCAGTGATCTGTCGAGGAACACTGCCATCCATGAAGTGTGCAGTGTTCCTATTCAGGTGACCAGACCCATGTAAGTTGGAGGTGGAGCTGTGGAGTGGCCCACTGTGATGGAGGCCCCCGAGGGGACTTGTGTGCTGCAGTCCCATTCCTGAGCCATGAAGCCCTGCCCCGGAGCTCCTGAGACTAGAGCTGGAATTGTGTAAGGCTATACCAGTGTGAAGATTGGATCCCTCGCTATCAGAGAACTGCTTCCCAGTGATGGCGCGCTGTGGGAATACTGGACCCTCGCTGTCTGCATAGGAGCTACGGTGACCGGTCATTGATCGGGCAGCCAGGAGGGGGTGGTTGGTGTCTGTGTGTGTACCAGGGATGTTGTTGTTGTGGCGAGGGGCAAACCCTGGAGGGACCTTCTCTGATGTATGGTTAGGCATCTTATCGGAGTTCATTACAGCCCGACCTTTGTTCAAATCTGCAAAATTCGAAACAAGTACACACAAGAATTCCAACAATCCAATCCAGAACTGCCGTAACTTACTGATTCAGTGAGAAGATCTTAAGGACACAATAAGGTCATTAGGACCAAGTTACCTTGAATAAAACATCTCAACATTGGGTGTTAGAAAGTGATACAGCAATGAACTACAAACTTATAAACTGACATCAATTCAATAATCTTTTTATCAATAAAGACAGATTTATTAAAAATCATATCATTTTAGAATTGTGTAGAAAACATGGAAACCTAGTATTGGAAATACGCCCAACACAAGCCATGCTGCATCCATTTTGACCCAACTTTTGTACTTAAAATTGTTAGGTTTTTGTTTTACTAATTTGAACAAAGGGACATTACTCTGTATAGTGGGACACAAGACCTGGCGCAACACTCCACCTTCCCAAGATATACTGGTATAGCAAGTTTCATGGACATTGGTGGAATACCAAGAAAGTTATGGTCCATACAAAGAATTGTTGATGCTCTGCCAGCCATACAACACCACACTGTAGTATGTCCCATTAAAGATGGGCATATAAAATCAAGTCAATGTACATGTACTGTTTTCTACCAATTTTACATTTATATATACATATAACTATAGTGGTAATACAGTCTTGTGTTGCATTACAACCTACCATTGAACTGAATACCTACCTGCTATGGCTAGTAGCATCTTTCTGCGAGCGCCAAATGTTGAAATACCCAGTTCCCTCAGATCTTGGTCAGTCAAAGTAAGGAACGTCGCAAGGTCAATCTAGGGTGACAGAAAATCAGGTTACTAATCTATGGTCTCCAAATTATTACAATTAATAGACCATTTGAATATTGGTAAACACAGATTTACAGATAAGTTGCAAGTATCTATAAGAAAACCTACTTCCTGTTGTTGGAATAAGTCTGTGTATTTCCCTAGTCCTAGTTTACTGAACAGTTCTGCGATGTCTGTTTTGACTGCCCAGAGATTCTTGACAGATGGCAGACAGGCACTGTCCACATAGTTACTGCTGCTCAGTGATACCTCATCTGTAACAAAGGCTCATACATTTACAACCTCCCAGCTTGTAGCAATTCTTTTGATATTGGAAATGTCATACAGATAATTAATTACCATCAAACTACTGGGGCAGTTTTCTCCTCAGGTCTGCCGGTCAGTAGATCTATATAAAGTTTGAAAACGTCAACAGTAATATCAATTAGCTACCTTGTCAGTTGAAATTGATATAAACATGTTCCAGATAGTATGATTGAAAAGAGCTTATGAGCTAAAAAAGGTATTACAATTAGACTGAATTAGAAGGCAGTTTTATTTATGATGTTTACTTACACTTCTTGCGAGGGCTCGGATACTCCCCTGGTGCAGGATTCATAGGTTTGTTTGTCTGCTGTACCGAGTCCCTCCATGGGTCTCTGTCTATTTCCTCCTCTTCACATCCCTCATTGGGTGACTGAAAATAAAGCATTGTTAGGCTACAGATTCCAGAATCTAACATAGAAGAAAAGAAGTACCAATTCATCAAAACAAGACTGTTAAACTTTTATTACTTTTTTTACCAGAAAATTCAAAACAAAACCATATAATTATCGAAAACCTGTAAGTGCTTCTGAACTTTTGAAGATCAACAGAATCTTATACTCTTTAGACAATTATGATTTTTGTGCAGTTACCTCATATGTGGTGGCCATGGATGGCTCTGTGTACTGGTTAGTCTCGAAACGCTTGCCAAACTTTTCCCTGATGGCTGACTCAGGCATGGACTTGGAGAAGCCCATACCTGCCCAATAGTCGGTGGGAATTCTAGACTCGCCCTCCGGTTTCTTCTGCATAGCTACGTAACAGAAACAGCCATACAGTATGATATGGTGGCATCAGCACAAGATTTGGCAATTTTAAAAAGATGAAATCTATTGGGAATAAGTTTGATACATTTTGTTTTACATACGTCGGAAAAGCTATCATGTCAAGGCAATTAATAGAAAGTACATGAAAAACTCTACCCATTATTACCTTGTCATGCAATCCTCATCATTGTTACAAATGTTATGGATAATCGTATTATGTAGCATGTTATACTTTTTTGAACTCAATAGGTTATTAGATAGTTCTATATATAAGTTGACAGAACTAGAGGGTACAATCAGTTCCCAGTAAACCTGGACTTGGCCCACCCATACCCGGACTGAAACAGTAGTTATATTTACCTTTGTTGGCCATGAGTTTCCTCTGTTCATAGTCGGTGTTCATATTCCATGTAGGGAATAGGTTTGCATTGGAGTTTTTGCGTTCTATGCCCGGGGCTAATTTATCTGAACCATCAGATTCTGCTCCTGACTCTGATGATCGCTCACCATTTCTATAAATAAAGAATGTAAAGGAAAATTGAGGAAAGGTAATGCTAGGCTTGGAGGCAAGGACGAGAAGAATTACAGTTTAAGATACTTCAAAAAGCAGTGTTCCAGGCAAGTGATAATACACACTAACCAGGGCAGGTTAATTTAGTACTCACTGTAGGGGTGATAGGTTGTTGTCTAGGATGGGTCGTCCCATACCATTGTCCCTAAAGAGTGGTGAGTGACTGCCCACAGTCTTACTAAGTCCAAGCAGGTCCAGAGTATGACAGCTTCCCGTTGGTGATGTCTCTCGTGTGATCAAATTACCAAAAGCATTGGCTTTCTGTAGGCTAGCTAGGTCAACTGTAGCAAAACCAGATGAATACACTTTCTTTGTAAGGTTAGGATGTACATCAGTTGGTTGTTTCATAAATGGTTTGAGTCAATTGAAATGAATGAGTATGGCTCAACAGGTTCATATAATGCCATCCCTAAATTGTTTGTTGAAACCAGGTTTTATATATTGTTTTGATATATAATACAATATAAGAAATATACACTGTACTGACCTGGGGAGGCACTTTGTCCTATACTGATGGGACTTTCACACGGACTGCGGCTCGGACTGTTGGTACTACTGGCTGTGGTGGCTATCACTGTGTTATAAATACAGATACTCTACTGACATGGAAATATGGTCAAATACTTTACATATATATATTACGGCTAATTGTGTCAACAGTGGAAAGTAAAACAGGTAAGTTATCACAACTAGGTGTCAGTGAAGCCAGAAGGTAGGGTCAGTAGGAGTGAAGTCACTGGTCAACAGACTGACCCTGGTCAGTAGGAGTGAAGTCACTGGTCAACAGACTGACCCTGGTCAGTAGGAGTGAAGTCACTGGTCAACAGACTGACCCTGGTCAGTAGGAGTGAAGTCACTGGTCAACAGACTGACCCTGGTCAGTAGGAGTGAAGTCACTGGTCAACAGACTGAC